CTCCAATCTTGGCAAACTTTAAGACTTGTGGACTTCGACTCCCAGAATTCCTCAGCCAGCAAAGCTTTTGCTGGCTGAGGAATTCTGGGAGTCGAAGTCCACAAGTTGCCAAGGTTGGAGAGCCCTGTTCTAAAGTCTTCTTTTAAAAAAAAAATGGCAATCCAGTCTTCGCCCAAGGAATTCTGGGAGTTGAAGTCCACTCGTCTCGAGAGTTGCTACGGTTTGAGAAACGCAGGTTTTTAGGAGAAAGAAACCCGGGAAAGACATTGGGGATCCGTGAGGCACTTGTCAGGAGATTAAGCAAAGCTTCCACACTCCCTTCTTTGTGCGAACAAGTCATTTCCACACTTCATAAAGGCCCTCCGAGCCCATGTGTGAGCCAGCGCCAAGCGTCTTCCTCCTCTTGTTATTCCAGCTGGGAAACATGTCTGCAGGAGGGAGAAGGCCGGGAAGGGTGGGCGGGTATCCCAACCTGGCCGATTCCGTTCCAGAAGGAATTGTCCCTCCCCCCCTTCAGACTAACTTCCTGACTCCGGCAGTTAAGAGCACTTCACAAGCCAAGATGCTATAGTCATACCTTCAAATCAGAATAGAGCTGGAAGGGACCTTGGAGGTCTTCTAGTCCAACCCCCTGGTGATAGGTCATGGCAAACCGGTGGCACGCGGCGCCCTCTCTAATGCACGCGAGCTGTTGCCCCAGTTCAGCTCTGCCATTCATGCACATGTGCCTCCTGCCAGTCACCTGGTCTTCGGGTCTCTGCCGTGCATGCGTGGGGGGCGTGGGGCACATGCGGGAGGGCCGTGTGTGCATGCATGGGGGCTGGGTGTGTGCAAGGGTGGGAAACATGCAGGGGCATGCATGCATGCACAGGGATCACACGCACATTGTATTTTGGGGGTTCGAGTGTGCATGCACGCTTTGGGCACTCGGTCCGGAAAAGGTTAGCCATCACTGCCCTATACCAATTCAGACAAGCGACTGTCCAATCTCTTCTTAAAAACCTCCAGTGATGGAGCATCCACAACTTCTGGTGGCAAGCAGTTCCGCTGATTAATTGTTCTAACTGTCAGGAAGTTTCTCCTTAATTCCAGGTGGCTTCTCTCCTTGGTTAGTTTCCATCCATTGCTTCTTGTCCTGCCTTCTGGGGCTTTGGAGAAGAGCTTGACTCCCTCTCCTTTGGGGCAGCCCCTCAAATACTGGAATACCGCTATCATATCCCCCGTACTCCTTCTTTTCTCTAGACTAGCCAAACCCATATCCTTCAACTGTTCTTCATATGTTCTAGTCTCCAGGCCTTTAATCATCTTCGTTGCTCTTCTTTGCGCTTTTTCGAAAACGTCTTTTTTGTAACGTGGTGACCAAAATTCGATGCCGTATTCCAGATGTGGCCTTATTAAGGCTTTATAAAGCGGTACGAAGACTTCACGTGATTTTGATTCTATGCCTGTTTCAGTGGTGGGTTATTCCCGGTTCGGTCCGGTTCTCACGAACCGGTAGTAATGGCAGTGGGAAGCTTTGCCCACCTGCCCGGACATTATCTTTAAAGATCTGCGCATGCGGCTAAGGATCGTATTAGCTTTTTTGGCTGCTGCTGCACACGGCTGGCTGATGTTTAAATCATCGTCCACTAGGACTCCAAGGTCCCTCTCACAGTTTCTGTTTTTGGCCCAGATTTTGCCTAATCTGCACCTTGGTATTTGATGACTTTGAAACTTGTCGAATCTGGTATTTGACGCAAAAAATTGTATCCCGGTACTCATCATTTGTTTGGTGTTCCAACGCGCAAGCTATAACTTGTCGGTTGCCTTGTGACTTGCTACATTTTCCAGCCAAAAACAAAGGCTTGCTCTTATGGGAAAAAAATCTGTTTGGTACTCGTTGTTTTTGATCCTTGTCGCACCTCTTGGAACCAATGAACAAGTACCGAGATCAGCAAATTAAAAATTGAGTGAGTAAGGCAGAGAAGAAAGAAAGAAAGAAAGAAAGAAAGAAAGAAAGAAAGAAAGAAAGGAAAGAAAGAAAGAAAGAAAGAAAGAAAAAAGAAAGAAAAAAGAAAGAAAGAAAGAAAGAAAGAAAGAAAGAGAAAGAAAGAAAGAAAGAAAGAAAGAAAGAAAGAAAGAAAGAAAGAGGAAGGAAGGGAGATAAAAAAAGAAAGCAAGGAAGGAGAAGGGGAAAGGAAGGAAGGAGAAAAAGAAAGGAAGAGAAAGAAAGGAAGCAGAAGGGAGGGAGAAAGAAAAAGGAAGGAAGAGAAAGAAAGAAAGAGAAAGGAAAGACCACAGCAAACACCCTACTGCTAATCCTCCCCCTGCCCCAATTCCCACAAAAGAAAAATTATACAAGTTGTTTTTGGCAAGAAGTACAAAACTGAACGCATATGAACATGAAAATATGATTCTTCTTTCCAGCCTCCAGCTCCGTCTCATTCATCTGAGATAATAATCAGAGGAATATATAGATAATGATGTTGAAAAAAAGAAAAGAAAAGCGGGAAGTTGATGGAAGGGGAATGAGGGCATTCCTCAGCCAAGGCCCCCATCAATCTCAGGGCCCGCCTGGGCTGAGGGTAAAATAACAAAGCCCGTATTTATCTCAAAAAGAAGACAACTCTGAACTTCAGACAACCCCAAAGACCAGCCAGGCCCAGCCAGCTTCCTCCTCCTGTCAACTTAAGTTGTCTGAAAGCAGTTTTGGGGACTATTCTCCTTCCTCCTCAAAGGCGGACAAGTGTCACCCATGTGCAACATTTACAAAATGGTGGTTGTCCTCGATTCGCGACTACCCCATAGCCCCAAATTGAACGTCCCTCTTCAGGGGTGGGCTGCTGGGGGTTTGCAGGGTTTCTGGAGAACCCCCAAATCCCACTCCTGGCTGGCCCCGCCCACGCAGCCCCTCCCCTCCCAGGAGTCCCCACGCGGCCTGTTTGGATGCAGGTAAGTGCAGGGCGCACACGGAGGCTCGGGGAAGGCGAAAAATGGGCCTACCGGAAGTTCGGGAAGAGGGCCTCCGGAGCCTGGGGAGACTGTTTTCGCCCTCCCGGAGGCTCAAAGAAAGACTCCAGAGCCCAGGGAGGGCAAAAATGCCCCCCACCGTGCAGGAGGCAGACCAGGCCACGCCCACAATGGCCACGCCCACCCAGCAACTGGGCAGAGTATCCCTTGCTAAAATTTTTGAAGCCCACCCCGGCCCTCTCAGAATGAGGTGGGATACGACATCGTCTACCTCCAGTCTACCACACGGTCCTCAGCCATCTGCACCGCTGAGGTGACCCTGAGGAGTAAATTTAGTAAATTTCCGTTTTATCGCTCGATGTTGTAGGGAACTGAGGTAAAACTGGCGGGGGAAAGAAGCACCCGTTCAGCCACGAAGTAAATTAAACTTTTATTCTGCCGTACATATTTATATTGATGGGCTCTCGGCCGAGCCCAGACTTTGATATACAATGTAGAAAGCAAAAGCTAGGCTTATTGGACACCCCCCCACCCCCCTAAAAGGCAGATCTTCAGGCCAGGAAAATCCACTTATGTGTGCAGTCGGGTACTACCTCACCTGAAGTTACATTTGCCCTGTTGGTCAACCGTTGAAGACAATTCCAATTTAAAAAATAGGGGGTTGGTTTCCTGTGTTTTATTTATTTATTTATTTTAAAAAAAGGATTGAAATGATTCGAAAAAGTCTTCCCGGAAGGACAATTCCATTCAATTCAGGTAACCCCGAATCTATCGCACTGGGGGTATTTTGTCTACGTGCACACAGGGTATATGTGTACGTGTGCGGAGCCTGGCCTGCGCGCTTGTAAACTGCTTCACTGCTGGGCTGAGGTTGAAATAATGGATAATAATCTTCATGGTAATAACAATAAGAATAAGAACAATCATGCGCCCACAGGCTCTTTCGTTAACGGTTTATGGTCCCGTGAGGCACTCCTGTAGCAAAGACAGACCCGTCCTCCGAGAAGGCCGGGGTTCCTCAGAAGGGGGCATCTTCGGTAGACAAGCCGGGTTTGGGGGGCGGGGCGGGGCGGGGCGGGGGAGGTCTGTGCATAGTCGCCTATTTCTTCAAAGCGAGACATGATTTTATTCCTGAAACGGAGGAGGCTCCTTAATCGCAGGGGAGTTGAACTGGGGAAAGCATAGTTAAGTTTATTCCTGGCAACAAAAGGAACCATCCACTCATTGACCTATCTCTCTGGCGTATGACCCTCGGAAGCACGTGGGACGTCCACGGGGGTATCGTGACAAGTCCCGTTCTTTACCCTGGGGCAGGTGTGGGATTGTTAGACTGGAGGGAGGGAGGGAGAAGGGGAAGGAACGAAGGAAGGTGGAAAAGGGGGGACGGGGAAGGGAGGAATGAGGAAAAGAACAAAGATGAAGGAAGGGAGGGAGGGAGGGAGGAAGAAAAGGGGGATGGGGAAGGGAGGAGAAGGGAAGGAGGAAAAGGGAAAGGAATGAGGAGAAGGACAAGGGAGAAGGGAGGGAGGGGAGGAGGAAAAGAGGAAGGAAGGAAGGAAGGAAAGGGGGATGGAGAAGGGAAGGAGAAAAAGGGAGAAGGAAGGAATGAGGAGGACAAAGGAGAAGAAATGGAAGGAAGGAGGGAGGAAAAGGGAGAGGGAGAAGGAAGGAAACAAGAGAAGGGAGGAGGAAAAGAGGAAGGAAGGAAGGAAGGAAGGAAGGAAGGAAGGAAGGAAGGAAGGAAGGAAGGAAGGAAGGAAGGAAGGAAGGAAGGAAAGAAAAAAAATAAGAAGGAAAGAGGCCCAGGACTGGGGTTTTACCCAGGCTTCCTGAGTGACAGGTCTTCCTACCGTTGAAATCAGCTGCTTCCCAAGAAAAACGACGACACGAACACTCTTGTATGCCTGTCAACCAGAAAGCTACGAGGAATCTGGCTGAAAGCAACAAGCTGTGGAGAACACAAAAGAAAAAACACGCAAAGCCTTGCTGGTAAGCCAGCAAAAGTTTGACCTAATTTCTCCTGAAAGGATGGAAATAATAAAACTTGGGGGGGGGGAGAAGCAGATTCTGACCCACGTGGTCATCGAGGGAGATCTTCTGTACTTCCTTCCAAAACCGTAGCAACTTTCTTCCCTACCGTCCTCCTACCCTGTAACTCAGGGCTCTCCAAACTTAGCAACTTGGAAGACTTGCGGACTTCAACTCCCAGAATTCCCCAAGTCTTCCAAGTTGCTAAGTTTGGAGACCCTCCCTCCCACAACAGATCAGGACGACGCGTGCAAGATTTATCTCCACTCCAGATACACAACTTTCTCTTGGTGACATGAGGCTCTCCCGCTACTTATCGGAGCCTTTCCGCGGCCGGCGGAACGTGGGGGTGTCCTTGTTCAGGGCGTAGATCCTTCGGGAGAACTCCTCGAATTCACCCAGGACTTGATCGTCGCATTCCACGGCTACTGCGTGATCCACCGGGATGTAGTTGAAGGCCGCCAGTTGGTCTCCCGAACCAAACCCCATGGCCTCCAGACCCATGATCTCTTCCGCCTGCTCCACAGTACAAAGGAGGTTGGTGCCCAGCGCGCCACAGAAGATGCTGGGCCGCTCGCGAGTGGCCGTCCCGGGCTGCTCGCTGGAGAACGGGGTGCCGTTAATGGCACGCGAAGGTCCCCGGAGTGATTCTGGAGGATTCCGGGAGCTGCTCGAGCTCCTGTTCTCGCCGTTGACGCCAAGCTGCGAATCCTCGCCCGTTTTGCTCCTGTCTTTCGAGAAGTCAATGGAGGTATCTAAAGAGGAGGATAAGGAGACCACCGTTTTCTCCGCCTCTCCCGCGATGGTGATGGGTTGGGTGAAAGCCGAGTTTTGACTCGGAAGTTGGGACTTGTGCAGCAGTCTCTCGTTCTCCGAGTTAGCCCGTTTGCGAAGCCCTTTGTCTGGAGACGGGTGGTTGCCGGAAAAGCAGACATCCAAACCCCCAAACGCAGAACCTTGTCTCTTTGGAACAGGGATGGCGCTGGAAACGTGGTGGCGATCGCTATTGAGGAACGGGAGAAAGAGGGTTAAAATCAGCGGGCCTTTGAAGAAATGTTCTGCAACTTTAAGGGGGCTACTGAGAACCCCAGAGAAACACAAGACCTCCCCCTCCCAGATCTGCTATTTTTATTCTCTGTAAATCAGGGGTGTCAAACATGATTTCATTGAGGCCAAATCAGGGCTGTATTTGACCTTGGGAGGGGCTGGTGTGTCTGGCCAGCTTGATGTCACTCATGTCGGAGGTGCCTGAGCAATCTGCCAGTGAAAACAGAGCTCCGTTTTTGCTGCAACAACCTCCTGCAACTCTTTGCCAGCAAAACGGAGCTGGGTGTTGTGGTCCACCAGCAGCCCACAGAGCTAGCAGCAGAGTCGGACAGTGAGGAGGACCATGGGCCAGTTTTGCAGTCAGGGGAAGGCCCGGACGAGGGCTCTACATTGGAGGCAGAGGTGGGGCCAGGGCCATCTGGGAGTGATGTGCGGACTTCGGAGCCCCCAGAGTCAGACAGCAGAGAGGCAGAGGAACCAGAGGAGCCTGTTCCTAGTGCACGCAGGCGCAGAGCTGCCAGAAGGCAAGAGCAGCTAAAGCAAAAAGGAAGACTCGGGAGTAAGGTCTGGAGATGATTGGCCCCTCCCATAAGGCTTAAAAGAGCAGCAAAGGCTCTTGGGCTCTTTGTAGGAAAGCAGCATTGCTAAATGTGTTTCCAGTTGGCGTCTCTTGTTTCTGAACTTCATGGGGCTTTGCCAAGAAAGACCTTTGGCAGCGTGTCAAAGAAGATAAAGGTTTGTGATAAGCCCGAAGGACTTTTTCTGAAAGACTTGTTATGCAATTAATTTGGACTAAGCTGGGAATGAAGTAATTCTCAGCTGTTATAATAAAACAGTTTTGTTTGAGACTAATTGTGTCCTATAATGACTAAGTGAGCCTAGGTCACAACACTCGGGAGGGCCAGGCACAGCCCTCCCGATATCCATTTTCTCTGGCAGGGGCATTGCAGGCCGGTCCTTCGCTGTTTCCAGGGTGGCCCCGCGGGCCACATCTAAGCACCCCAAGGGCTGGACCGGCCCACGGCCTTGAGTTTGACACCCCAAGTGTAAATAGTTTGGGAGGTTTACAGATAATCCTACGTCTGAGGATTATCTGCATGGGGTGTAGAGAGCTGATTTGAGGCCATGCTGAAACTCAAGATATTCTCCAAAGCACCTGAAGGCAGGACAAGAAGCAACAGATGGAAACTAATCAAGGAGAAAAGCAATCTAGAACTAGAATTTCCTGACAGTGAGAACAATTAACCAGTGGAACAACTTGCCTCCAGAAATTGTGGATGCTCCAACATTGGAGGTTTTTAAGAAGAGATTGGATAACCATTTGCCTGAAGTGGTGTAGGGTTTCCTGCCTAAGCAGGGGGTTGGACTAGAAGACCTCCAAGGTCCCTTCTAACTCTTGTTATTCTGTTACACAACCAATTGTTTAGTGACCGTTCGAAGTTAGAATGAAACAAGTGCCTTACGACCAAAACAGACATGAGGATGTTTCCTCCTTGTACGTTCCTCAACATACTTCTTTACTGGAGCTCCAGATAATTTTAAAAGTTTTCAAATCCCTGGGGCATCATATATACTGCAAGTCTACACTTCAGCTATTATACTTGACCTCAGAGGCCTCTGCATTTCCCATTTCTGACCAGAGTCAGAACTAAAATTCTAATAGAAGAGAATATTTGTAGCTCAGAGTTGACCCAAAGCTGACACTGGTGGTCTCTGACCTTGGTTGTTTTCTTGTAGACCCAACTAGGTAACATCATCAGTACTGGAAAGGGTTTGAGGAGAAGAAGAAAGAGGGGAGGAGGAGGGGGAGGAGGAGGAGGAGGAGAGTCCCTTGGGAGTTGGGTGGCATAGAAATTTGATAAATTAAATTAAATTAAATTAAATTAAATTAAATGACGACTGTGGGGTTCTTGGTGCTCTCTGATCTTGGTTGTTTTCTTGTAGACATTTTATTACCCAACTAGGTAACATCATCAGTGCTAGAAGGGAGTAGGGTTTGCTCTCTGTTTACATACAACGGCTTGCACCGTCAGTGTTGGTGGGAGTGTTTTTGATGGTTCCTTGATTAGGCTGTTGTTAGGCTCCCTTCTAACACTGACAACGTTACCTAGCTGGGTAATAAAACGTCAGTAAGAAAAGCACCAAGCTCAGGGAACACCAAGGACTCCACAACTCAAGTTCTGTTTAGATATAATTTATCCCCTTCCATCACAAAGCAGGTGTCTTGATTTGCTTTGACTTAAATCCCAAAGCTCGAACATTTGGCTCTTTTCTAACCCCAGAAAATGAAAATCCTCTTGAAGGTAGGGTTTCGCCGTCCAACAAAAACGGGATTTTCCTGCTCATTCTCCCACGCTTCAAGTCTTCAGGAAGACAGTTCTTGAGAATCCCGGGACTGCAAGAGACGACCTAGGAATACGGGAGCCGCTGAGTTTGCATAAGGGCTCTTAGTTCCCTTTAATCCTAATAAGGATTAAACTGCTAATTGGAACACCCACCTCGGAAAAAAACCCCGTATCTGTATGTTTTTAATTTATTGCTCACATATCCTGCCACAACCGTAAAAAGATTCTTGGCAGCGGGACAGAAACTTGATTCATGTTTGAAGTTAAAATGCCACCGAAGCCCAGCCCGACTTTTAAGAATCTACACATAATTAGTCATAGGAGAGTCAAGGCTTGGTTTGTTCGGCAGTAAAATCATGCTCCTTAACTAAAACTGAACCACCTTTGTCTTCGCTTGCGAGCGATCTGTCGGTCGGTGGAGTGAAGAAGGTCAGCTTATTATTTCTGATTTGACACCGGCTAAAGATTTGAGTTGGCCAGATATGGACACGTTCTGCCTTTGAATATGAGCAGAGGTGTCAAACTCAAGGGCCGGGGGCCGGATCTGGCGCGGAAACAATGAAGGACCGGCCCGCGGTGCCTCTGCCAGAAAAAACGGAGCTCCGTTTTCACTGGCAGAGGGATGCAGGAGGCCGTCGCAGCTGAAAACAGAGCTTGGGAGCTGTTCTGGTCCGCCAGCAGCCTGCAGAGCTAGCAACAGAGTCAGACAGTAAGGAGTCTGGGGAGGAACATGGGCCAGTCCTGGAGTCTGGGGAAGGCTCGGATGAGGGCTCTGCGTCGGAGGCAGAGATGGGGCCAGGGCCATCTGGGAGTGATGTGCAGACTCCGGAGCCTCCAGAGTCGGACATCAGAGAGGCAGAGGAACAGGAGAAGCCTGTTCCTAGTGTTTGCGTGCGCAGAGCTGCCAGAAGGCAAGAACAGTTAAAACAAAAGGGACGACTCGGGAGTAAGGCTTGGAGATGATTGGCCTCTCCCATAAGACATAAAGGAAGAACAAAGTCACGTGGGCCTTTGCAGGAAGCAACGTTGTGGATGGTGTCGGTTTGAAGCTCCGTTTTTGGATTCTGTGTTTCCGTGCGGCCTTGCCAAGATAATTGCCAATTGGGCCTTTGGCAGCGTGTCAAAGAGGATAAAGGTGGGTGTTTACCAGCCTTATCCGAAGGACTGTGGCAGACTTCTGTTGGACTATTTATAAACTCTTGGTGATTCAGCACGTGCTGCGAATGAAAGGAATTCACAGCCATTAAAATAAGAAAAAGGGTTTGGGGGACTAATTGTCCCCTGTGTGCTTTTTACTATATCAGGAAGCCTAGATCAGAACAGGAGCTCGTTTTTGCTGGCAGAGCGCTCAGGCCTCCACAGGAGCACCCGACGCCGGTAATAGCAGTTACAGTATAAAGAAGAAAAGTGAAACACGGAGAAAAAACAAGATATACAACAATTATCACCAAAGAAAAAACGAGGTATACAACGTCTTCCCACAGAGTGAATCAAGTCTTTTAGTTCTGCAGATGTTATCATGTGAAACCAAGATTGAATGATGGCTTCTATTAACTGAGTTTTATTGCTGGGTCGCTGCTGACTAAAAAATTTGTTTAGTTGGCTCCATAGATTTTCCATTGAGTTAAGGTCTGGGCTATTCCCAGGCCATTCCAGCAGTGGAATAGGATGATCTTGAAACTCCAAAAATTAGAATAGAATAGAATAGAATAGAATAGAATAGAATAGAATAGAATAGAATAGAATAGAATAGAATATAGATAGAGAATGGAATGGAATGGAATGGAATGGAATGGAATGGAATAGAATAGAATAGAATAGAATATAGATAGAGAATGGAATGGAATAGAATAGAATATAGATAGAGAATGGAATGCAATAGAATAAATAGAATAGAATAGAATAGAATAGAATGAAAGAAATAATAGGAATAGAATAGAATAGAATAGAATAGAATAGAATAGAATAGAATAGAATAGAATAGAATAGAATATAGATAGAGAATGGAATAGAATAGAATAGAATATAGATAGAGAATGGAATGCAATAGAATAAATAGAATAGAATAGAATAGAATAGAATGAAAGAAATAATAGGAATAGAATAGAATAGAATAGAATAGAATAGAATAGAATAGAATAGAATAGAATAGAATAGAATAGAATAGAATAGAACAGAACAGAACAGAACAGAACAAACAGAACAGAATAGAATTCTGGTGTTATTAGCCATCAAACCTCAAAAATGCACTTTCCCCAAAAGGTTTCCACAATTTGGGCCACTAGTGTATTTGTACCCAGATGAAACATTTGGTCTGCATAGGGAATAAAACACGGTCCTTTGAAGCAGAGAATAAGAAAAGGCCAAGCATATTGGCAACAGCCATGGGGAGGCTGCAGAATTGAGGGAGGGAGAGACCGGGGGTGGGGGAGAGAGAGATGGGGAGCGGGCAGATCAGTGGGTGCCGAAGGAGAAGCGGAGAGAGGGGAGTAAACACGTATCAACCTTGTTCTACTTACGGAGTAAAATCACTCCAGGATCCCAATGGGTTTTCTATTGGCCCAAATCCAGAATAGCGAGCATACCTACGGTTTTCCTAATCCGTGGCTGATCTGGAATGTGATTTGTTTTGGGGGGGTTCAAAGAAAAACACATTTTCTGTTTTTCGCTGGCCTTAATTAATAATGTAGCCATATATCTGCCTCCAAGTGAAAGTTTCACATATTTTTTTTTTTTAAAAAGGGCCTCTTTTTCTCTGGGTTACAGTGAATTTAAAGCTAGTCGGGAGTATTTTTACTTGGTTAAAAAACTGTCTCAACGAAAGCCATTCCTGGACCACAGCAAAATCAGCTTTAATAATCCTAGTGAGCTGGGCAACAAGAGCATCTTCGGTAAGAGAGACAGCAGACGGAATTGCAGGTTTCCCCATATCCTGTGTTTTCTGGGAAAAAAGTTTAATCTTTGGGCTACTTTATCTATTACAGGAAGTCCTCGACTTACGACCACAATGGAGCCCAAGATTTATATTGTAAAAGTGAAACATTTGTTTAACTGAATTTTCCCCCGTTTTACGACCTTCCTTGCCACAGTCGCCGGTTGTTAAGTGAATCACAGCAATGGATAAGCCAGTAACCCGGTTATTAAGTGAATCACAGCAATGGATAAGCCAGTAACCTGGTTATTAAGTGAATCACTGCAATGGATAAGTCAGTAACCCGGTTGTTAAGTGAATCACTGCAATGGATAAATCAGTAACCCGGTTGTTAAGTGGATCACAGCAATGGATAAGCCAGTAACCCGGTTGTTAAGTGAATCACTGCAACGGATAAGTCAGTAACCTGGTTGTTAAGTGAATCACTGCAATGGATAAGTCAGTAACCCGGTTGTTAAGTGAATCACAGCAATGGATAAGCCAGTAACCCGGCTGTTAAGTGAATCTGGCTTCCCCATTGACTTCGCTTGTCCGAAGGTTGCAAAGGGGGGGGGGCGTCACGTGACCTAGGGACACAGCCAATGGTCGTAAGTATGAACCGATTGCCAAGCGTCTGAATTTTGATCACATGACCATGAGGGGGGGGAGTGCTACAAAGGTGGTAACTGTGAGAAAAGGTCCTAAGTCACTTTTTTTTCCAGTGCCGCGGTAACTTGGAACGGTCACTAAATGAACTGTCGTCAAGTCGAGGACTATCTGTGCAAGTAGTCCTCGACTTACGACCACAAAGCAAGACAGTTGTTAAGTAAGTGGTGCTTCATTTGACAACTTTAAAAGTTAAAGTAAATCCCTGCGGTTGTCAACGCGAGTCATGCGGTCGTTAAACGAATCTGACTTCCTGCCACTGACTTTGCTGGTCAGAAGCCGGCTAGGAAGGTCTCAAAATGGTTGATCACATGACCCCCGGATGTCGTGACCGTCATAGATACATGAGGGTCCGAATTTTGATCGTGTGAGTGCCGGGGGGGCTGCTGCTACAACAGGGTTTAAGCCCAAGGGCCAGTTGTAAGTCACTTTTGCTCCAGATGGATGGTCGTAAGTCAAAAGATTGCCCGCGGCGTCGTGTAAAGCGAAGCAAGAACTACTCACCATCTAACCATGAGGCCGTGCTCCAGGAAGTTTTTCAGGTTGGGAAGGGTCTGCCTTAAATCTGGAGTCCCCAGCCCATGCTGGTATCTAAGCTATGGAAAGAGAACAGAGAGGTTTAGAAGGCGGCAGCTAAGAGGGGCTTCCAGAGGAGCTCGGGGGGAAGCGAGTTGCGCTACAAACTGGAGGATTTTTAAGAAGCTCGGAGGAAATTCCAGGAAAGAATTTTTGTGGACATTTTAGAAGGAAGGGAAAGAGTGGTGGGATTCAATTGTTTTTTTTTTTTTTTTTTACTACCGGTTCTGTGGGCGTGGCATGGCTTGGTGGGCGTGGCAGGGGAAGGATACTGTGAAATCTCCATTCCCATTCGACTCCAGGGGGAAGGATACTGCAAAATCCCCATTTCCTTCCGATCAGCTGGGACTCGGGAGGCAGAGAATAGGTGGGGGCGGGGCCAGTCAGAGGTGGTATTTACCGTTTCTCCGGACTACTCAAAATTTCCGCTACCGGTTCTCCAGAACTGGTCAGAACCTGCTGAATAACCACCTCTGAGGGGAAACCCCACTGATTCGCCTATGTGAGCGCAAATTGGGGGGGGGGGGACACTCAGTGGAAGAGACTAGACTGCCATCGGTCAGAAATGGTGTAGGGCAGGGGTGTCAAACTCACGGCCCCGGGGGCCAGATCCGGGCCGCGGGATGCTTAGATCTGACCCGCTCCATTTTCGCTGGCAGAGGGTTGCAGGAGGCTGTTGCAGCCGAAAACGGAGCTCGGGAGCCCGTTTTCACTAGCAGAGTGCTCGGGCCGCCATAGGCGCCCCGACACAAGTGACTTCAAGCTGGCCACGCCCACCCTGGCCACGCCCCCCAAGGTCAAACACAACCTTGATGCGGCCCTCAATAAAATCGAGTTTGACACCTCTGGTGTAGGGTCTCCTGCTTGGGGGAGGGGTTGGATTGATGATCTACAACACTGATGGCTAACCTTTTTGCCGTCGTTTTTTTTGCCCCCCGCTTTTGGCAGGCGATGGCACGGTGGGCCCAGTAGGCCTGGTTTTTTTGCCCTCCCCAGGCTCTAGAGGCTTTCTTGGAGCCTGGGAAGGGCACAAAAAACCAGCCTTCCAGTCCCAAAGGAAGTTGGCAAACAGGCCGTTTCTGGCCTCCAGAGGGCCTCCGGAGGGGGGGAAGGCTGTTTTAGCCCTCCCCAGGCTCCTAGAAAGCCTCTGGAGCCTGGGGAGAGCAAAAAATGGCCCTTCACCACCCCCTCAGAATTCAGAAACAGCATGTTTCCTGACTTCCAGTGGGCCCGGAAGGCCCAAAAATGAGTTGGCTGGTGCACGCATGCGCACTGGAGCTGAGGTAGGGCAACACTCGCGTGCCCACCGATATGGCTCCGCGTGCCACCTGTGGCACGCATACCACAGGTTCGCCATCACGAATCTACAAGGTCCCTTCCAATTCTGTAATTCTGTAAGTGGAAATACTGTAGAAGCAAAATGAAAGCCCTTTAATCTGTTTTGGAGACGTTTTGTAATATCCAGAGATACTCGGGAGATTCTTAATATAAGAAAGATGTTCAAAAGAGAAATGGATGGAACGAGCAGAGGTGGCCAAATTGTTTTAATTGAAGAGAGAAGAATACACATCCAACTTCGTATCCATCTGGAAACTGCTTCTAGATTTTGTGCTTGAGGTAGGGAAAAAAATGACACTCTGATTTTAGGATTTACTAATCAGAGGGATTTTTTTTTTAGAAATGACTACTACCGTGTTTCCCCGAAAATAAAACCCTGTCTTATATTTTTTTGAACCCTGAAATAAGCGCTTGGCCTTTATTGCCATGCATTCAAAAGCCCGACTGGGTTTCTTATCAGGGGACAGGGTGGATAAAACTCAATGATTTTTTTAAAAAAATCAAAAAAATCAGATTTTTTTCATTTAAATCGGATTTTTTTTTATTTTTATCGAATTTATTCTAATAAAAAACTTTTGGGGTAAAAATCTATCATAAGATAGTTTTCTATTTACGATACATAAATAATTGAGTTTATTTAGCCTGAAATGGAGCTTAGTTATGTAGCAGGAGGCTGTATATTCTGCAACACTGGGACTATCGGTGAGTCAACAGCGGGTCAAAGGAGTAGCAGAGATGACGGTTGCTCTTTAAAAATTATGATTTAAATCAAGTCTTTTTACTAGTGATTTAAATCGACTCGATTTAAATCAAATCCACCCTGTCAGGGGATGTCTTATTTTGGGGGAAACAGGGTATATACACTGAGGGTGTAGAGTAAAAAGCTGAGGCTGCTAACTTACTATGTTCGTTCTATTGCACTGAAGAATTGGAAATTAATGCTATTTCTCTCCCCCCCTTTATCCTACAGTTCTCTCGTTCCCCTTTTCCTGCTATTTTCAGTGTCACTTATATGCTCCGAGAAGTTCGAAACAATTATAGTTAATTCCAAAGTTTGACTCCTGCAGATAAACCAGGCGTACCACATAAAGGAGCAGGAGTGTTCACACTTAGAGCTGAATTCACGCTCAATTTCCCTTCTACATCAACTCGGCCCTTCAGATCTGCAGGCTAAAGGAGCAGTTACACTAGATCGGGGTGTCAAACTCGATTTGAGGGGCACATGAGGTTGTGTTTAACCTCGGGGTGTGGGGGGGGGGCAGCTCTACGTCAGTCGTGTTGGACGTAGCTGGGAGGGGGTCCTTCCCTCCTTCCTACCTTCCTTCCCATTTTCCTTTCTTCTTCATTCTCCTTTCTTCTTCCTCCTTCCTTTTCTTTTTCTTCGTCTTTCCTTTTTCCCTTTCTCCTTTCCTGTCCCTTCTTGGATGCTCAAATGCAAAAGGGGGAAACATTTCTCCTTTTGTTTTGCTTTTAGTTTAGCGAAAACGGAGCCCAGAGTGGCTGCACATAATCCTCCCGGGCTCCATTTTTACTGGCAGAGGCATTGGTGGCCGGTCCTTTGCTGTTTTCAGGGCTGCCCCACGGGCCGGATACAGCCCGCAGGCCTTGAGTTTGACACCCCTGTGCTAGATTGTCTAGAACAGGGGGTTCCCAACCCCTGGTCCGGGACCAACACTTCACCACGGCATGCCAGAAACCGGGTAACGCAAACAAGCGAAGCCCCATCCATGGGATGTAGGCAGTACGGGAAACCATGGCCCCCTCTGATCCGTGGAAAAATCTCCCTCCACGGAATTAGACCCTGGTGCCCAAAAGGTTGGGGGCCACTGATCTAGAACCCCCCAGTACACTGTATATTGACGACACACTGATCAAAAATGAAAGATCACCCACCTTCACAAGCAGCGAGCCATAAACTTATGCCTATCCATCTGTACACTATGGCAATTTTACGACCTCTGGCCTTCATGCTGGCTCAGGAATTCTGGGAGTTGGAAGTCCACAGGTCCTCAAGTTGCCATGGTTACCCCCCCCCCGCTATACAGGTAGTCCTCGACTTACAACCACAAATAGGGGCCACAATTTTCTGAGCCGGGGTGGCGCAGTGGTTAGAGTGCAGTAGTGCAGGCTACTTCTGCTGACTGCTGGCTGCCTGCAATATGGCAGTTTGAATCTCACCAGGCTCAAGGTTGACTCGGCCTTCTGTCCTTCCGAGATCGGTAAAATGAGGACCCAGATCGTTGGGGACAAGAGGCTGACTCTGTAAACCTCTTAGGGAGGACTGTAAAGCATTGTGGAGGGATATACTGTGGAGGCTTTATTATTTACTACTAATTAATTATTTGGATTAAATTATGATTTTATTGTACTTGTTTCTTAACTTGTGTTCGCTGCCCTGAGTCCTTCGGGAGAATGGCGGCATATAAATACATGTAATAAATAAATAAATAAATATATGTCTAAGTGCTATTGGGAAGGGAGGGAGGGAGGGAGGGAGGGAGGGAGGGAGGAAGGAAGGAAGGAAGGAAGGAAGGAAGGAAGGAAGGAAGGAAGGAAGGAAGGACCCGTGGTGGTACAGTGGTTAGAATGCAATACTGCAGGCTAACTCTGCCCACTGCCAGGAGTTCAATCCTGACCGGCTCAATTCAGCCTTCCATCCTTCTGAGGTGGGTAAAATGAGGACCCAGATTTTGGGGGGGGGCAAGAGGCTGACTCTGTAAACCGCTTAGAGAGGGCTAGAAAGCACTGTGAAGCGGTATATAAGTCTAAATGCTATTGCTATTGCTAAGCAAGACCGTTGTTGTGTGAGTTTTGCTCCATTTTACAACTTTTCTTGCCACAGTTGTTAAGTGAGCCACTGCAGTTGTTAAGTCAGCCCACAGGGTTGTTAAGTGAATCTGGCTTCCCCGTTGACTTTGCTTGCCAGAAGGTTGCAAAACGGATCACGTGACGTGGGGACGCTACAACTGTCATAACCATGAACCCCCGTTGCCCAAGTATCTGAATTTTGATCGCAGGGCTGCTGCAACTGTCCTGTGAAAACGGTCGTAAAACGGTCACTTTTTTTCAGTGCTGCTGTTAAGTTTGGTCACTAAATGAGTGGTTGTTAAGTCGAGGACTAGTACTCTTTCAAAGGCTCAGCAAAATTAGACCGAGAGCAAGGCACAAGAATCCAACAGCGCAATAACTCCATCTCTCCATGCTGTGGGCAAACCACCAAAAAAACTAAATTTATCTCCAGCAGGAAAAATTCTCTCAAATTTCTTAACAGCCGGTCATTCAAACAGCTAAAGGAAATTCTATTTCAAGAACTCATTTGCTAAACATTAAGTAATGATGTCCCTTCAAGCTTGGCTGATCTCAAAACAGCCAAGCAGTATCAGGTCTGTTAAGATTTTAAACTGCAGGCTAGACCAGGAAGTGAAAACCGAAGAAGGGAAAGTAAATCATTTTTGAGAATGTGTCTGTTGAGCAAGCTAAGATAAATCCAAACAAAACACAATTCGCATTATACCTTAATGCCTTTTCAAATTTTACTTTAAAAAAACAACAACACCCATCACATATGGGCATTGCCCATGCAATACATTTCTTCGTGAAAGTTCAGCTTTTCAGATTTTAATTCGGTCAAAAAAATTGAATGAAGAGAGTTCAAGCATCAATTCAAAAGTTAGTAGCATTT